TCATATTTCAGGTCCTACCACATATGGGAAGGTCGAAGACGAGTTTCGGGTTGATTAGAGGTCGAAAATCGCGAAAAAGTGGGAAACCCTCCTATTTTGTATTAGCACCTAGGGTTTGGTTTTGGGTGGCCGTCCGAACTCCGATTCGAGGGTAAAATCTAACCAACCCTTAGTCAATAGTCGAGAGAGTCACGTTGGTGGCTTGGATCATATCCCTTTCCCTCGACCTAGAGACCAAGAGAGTGGCGCTTGGCTACTTGTTACACTTCCCTATGGTTATAACCCCCTCACCACACACGGCCGTTCGATCCAACAATTCGTAATTAGTAGCTAGGGGAGCAATACCCGGGTGAACTCTTCTCTCATTGGGACAACCTCGATTTACTTTACTTGCTTGTTTTCATTTGTAGGTTTCTTTGTTTTAAACCCAAAACCGTTTGATAGATAACAAACTAAATGATTGAAGTACGTGTACATAGACCGACCCAGGTTTGACAATTAAAATATACTTGCCCTATGCTGCACTCAGCTAGAGCTTAAAAACTTGAGCTCTACTTAGGATTGATTCGCGGTGTATCTGTGGTGAGTCAATAATTCATCAATAGTAGAAGGAATGGTGTAGACAAATTGTTCAAGAGTGAGTCAACGCAGAGGCATAAAGATTATATGAGAAGCCCTAACCTTGGAAATTTTTGCCCCGTATGTGGTTTGCTGAACCATACTGACTAATGCATAATAAGTAGCTGAAGGAGTGAGGGTGCTAAAAATGGAAAAGAGATAGAGTTTATGCGAGAACAACTAAATAAAGCAAAGGAGTTAAAGAGATAAAAACACATGCATAAGAAGTCAAAGCACACATGAACAATTTGGTACAAATAAGGTTGATTCTTTAAAAGAAATCACGTTATAAGTTATAAGATCGTACAAGTAAAAACAATAGTAGAATCATAGATACTGAAACAAACTACAGAAATTAGGCAGCTAGAAAGCATCACCGACAAGAGGCATGTGAAATGATTTCAATTCTTTCTAGATTGAAATGTTATGTTGTCATCCTTAATAGAGCACAAATTTCTTGAACAAAAGCGTCATTTGCATCAATAAACATGTCTCGAGGAATTGACACTGGGTCTTATCCCTACATTTCACTCTCATAATATGAGTAACTTCTTGGAAAAACCAATAATGGTAATTTTTTATTCACTCTTCTTCTAGCAGGCTAGCCTCTAATCTCTATGTCACAGTAGGTTGTGCTAATAGTGTGACGGCAGAATCCCAAGCTCTTTAGGAACACCACACATGATCAATTAACCATAAAAAAAATGACATCTACCAAGGTAAGAAACCGAGCTAAAGAGCATGCTTTGGCATATTAGTGAGTGTCAGCTCCAATACAGTTACTTCAGGGTCGATTTCGTTAAAAGCAAGTGTCATCCATTTTATACATGTCTACAACGTCCATTTCAATCTAGACAATCCAAAGGAAAAAAAGAAAGATAAAGTAGGAATGACGATCTCGACCTGACTCATTTTATCCGATCAGTTCGACCTGTTTTGTGGCGTGTAATACCCGTCTCGTAGGAAAAGCGGCATGGTTACTCTCCTTGACCTGACCCGCTCCATTTTCAACCCATTTTTGTCTAAACTACATGTAATTTTACTAAATTAGTTAGGATTTTGATTTTATTTTCTTATAATTTAACTATAATAAATTTGTATATAGATGAGAACCTCAATTTTTATCGAATAAATAAATATTTTCTTTAAATTACATACTCATATGGGTCAGCCAGCCCCTACCAGCCCCTCAATGACAAATTATCCGACCTGATATGAGATGGGTATGGGTATGGACCGCACGACCTGCCACATTGTCATTCTCATGATAAAGACTAAGAAAACTAATGAAAAGACTACTTAAAAGTGATGATATGGCTGCTGCTGGGTTTGAATTAAACAAAATTCCAAATTTTGTAGCCAGGGGGAGATATTATTAATACCTATATATAAAAGCAGAGTTGGAAGCTGAAAAGGGTTGTAAGGCGATGAAGGAGTGTTTGCGGCATAACTGTGATCCCAAATCGGCGACAATGTTTTTGGCTTCAGAGAGAATCGCGACGTGGAGATGCGACGGATCTGGGAACGTTTTCATTCTTCGTTGGTGGATAAAATATTAAAGATTTACTCTTTTCTATGGGCCTGTACAACTTACCAAGCCAGACCATGAAATTCTAGTTAATTAGAAAGGGTAGAAACCGATGTAGGGATTTTAAGTAATGGGAATAGGGATCGGTTAGCATACTTACCCTTAGGATTGGAAAAATAATACCCTGTAGGGTATTAAATATAATTATAGAATTTAATATACACATTAAATACACATTAGGAATTAAATGTACCATATTAATTAGTTTTTTTTTTCAAATTAAAACCTACACTAAATACATTCTCTCTCTCTATATCTGATTTTTCATTTTTCAGCAGCCTCTGACCACCATGATTCCTCCGACCGCCACACTTCTCTTGTGAAAATGTCATCGACAGACTCCCTCCGACCACCTGCAAAAAAATACACCACTGCACTACTTATACGTTGTACCACTGCACTGGTAGATACCACTGTAGTGATAGCTATACCACTGCACTGGTACCAATGTCGTATCTGAGTATTAGTGCAGTGGTACAAATACCAGTACAGAGGTACAACATATCAGTGAATTTGGAATATTTTTGCAGGTGACCGGAGAGAGTTTGTCGGCCGAATTTTACCGACGAAGTGTGGTGGTCGGATGAAACTTGGTGGTCGGAGGCTGCTGGGAAAGCAAGAATCAGAGATAGGAGTGAGAAAGATCAAAGATGAGAGAGAGAATTGTATTTAGTATATGGTTAGATTTTTTTAAAAAACAAGTAATTAATGTGGTGTATTTAATGCTTACTTTGTATTTAATAACAAAATATTTATTATGTCTACCTTCATTAATACTTGTCAATGATTAATGAAAAAATTGACCAATTGAGAAGGGGGTGCAAAAAAACCAACCCTTTAAGGGTATGCATAGTATCGTACTTGTACGTGGGCACCGGGTCGTGCCACCCACGGGCTAGCACGACACGACACGACACGGTTAGAGCATGGCACGAGCACAGACACAAAATAAATGGGCCAGCCCGGCACGAGCACGAATAATTTATAGTCCGTGCCGGGCCTAAACTTCATGGGCACGGGCACGCGCACTGGCACGACACGGTGTATAAGTGGGTTGTGTCGGGCCTAATATTTTCAAGACTTTATTGAGTATAAGAACGAACATGGCACTAAAATAATATTTATTTGATAGAAAATAAATATAAAAAGAGTTATAGGTCAAATATTACAAAACACAAGTAGAAATAATTATTTGTTGTTGTTAGAAGTGTCATAAAGATATATACGTAATTACTGACATAAGTAAAAATGGACAAAGAGTTAAACAAAGCCAAATCACACTCGCTATACTTCCAATTTTCTTTTCCCCCTTATTTGTTACTTTTCTCAAACATTATCGGTTAATACTATCTTCCTTCGTCCAATTTTCCCCTTCTTTTTCATTCTCTCTTTTATTTTCGTCCTTTTCATTTCAACATTAATACGAGCACGAATAGACATGACACGATTTGAAACGTGCTCGTGCCTATTCGTGCTCATGCCGTGCTCTATGAAAAGGACGAAAACAAAAGAGAGAATGAAAAAGAAGGTGAAAATTGGACGGAGGAAGATAGTATTAACCGATAATGTTTTGAGAAAAGTAACAAATAAGGGGGAAAAGAAAATTGGAAGTATAGCGAGTGTGATTTGGCTTTGTTTAATTTTGTGTCCATTTTTACTTATGTTAGTAATTACGTATATATCTTTATGACACTTCTAGAAACAACAATAATTATTCTACTTGTGTTTTGTAATATTTGAAACTATAATTCTTTTATATTTATTTTCTATCAAATAAATATTATTTTTGTGCCATGTTCGTTCTTATACTCAATAAAGTCTCGAAAATATTAGACCCGACACGACACACTTATATACCGTGTCGTACCCGTGCCCATGCCTGTGCCCGTGCTCGTGCCCGTTCCCATGAAGTTTAGGCCCGGCACGGCCCATAAATTATTCGTGCTCGTGCCGGGTTGGCCCATTTATTTCGTGCCCGTGCTCGTGTCGTTCTCTAACCGTGTCGTGCTGTGCTAGCCTGTGGGCGGCCCGGCCTAGTGTCGCGTATACCCAACGCCCATGTACAATCCTACCCCATGGGAATATAATATGGAATAGGGAAAGGTGGAATGTTTCAATTCCATTGGGAAAGACCGAAATCAGGCCCCAATTGGGAGGAAAAGAGAGCCCATTGGACGCAGGTATGGAAGCTACACTTGGACGTGGGCTACGACGACTGGAAACAAAATGCACAAGAACAAGTAATTGATGAGAAATGATAGCATGGTAAAGGAAACCGTACCGGAAGTCATACCGGATCCGTCAGTGGTAGGGTATTTTGTGGTACGACCGTGGTTCAACCGTTGTATACCAGCAAAATACCGTTTTTGTAATTAAAAATATATTTTTGTAAAAAAACCATACCTGCATATTCAGGATACCGTTTCGGAGTAATACAAAATAAAACCGAAATATACCGAATAACAAACCTGAATAAACTAAATCGGAATATACTAGATTCAGAATACGGTTTCATTTGAATGATTCCAATAAACCCCGAATTGTTGTCCCTAATTTCCCACTCTAACAAACTAGAAAAATAAGCAAGCGTTCCTTCTCTAAGTCTTCTTCTTTGACTACCTTAGCAATTGAGCTTTCTTGATCCTTATCCCTTGTTGCAGTATACAACAAACACGATTTCCTGATAGAGCAGTAACATAGAGCATTCTAAGAGCTCTTTTCCTGATCTAATTTGCCTTTTGAGAATGATTAATTGGTTGTTGGGTTTGGCCGTTAATTGTTCAGGAAAAGAGATATGCCCTATGTCTGCGATGTCGATGCTCTTAAGCTGGGGGAGGGAGACTTGAGCTGGGATCAACACGGCGGAGCAGAGCTGCTCGACCTATTGCTGGTCGCGGGTCCCCAGTCGCCACTCGCCAAAGAAGAGAAGAGGAACGGCAGAGCGGCGAAACGACGAAGCACGGTCGGCTCGACCTTTCGCTGGTCTTGGGTTGCCGACTTGCCTCGTTTGTTTCGCCGACCAGGGGTTGCACCACTGCAGGCCGTTGGTCACGGGTCGCTAGAGGAGAGGAGAAGCGGCGAGGAAGGGATGGGGAAGAAAAAACAATGAAGTCTCCCTCCTGATTCACTTCGATTAGAGATTAGGGTTTTCCGTAAATGGTGATTTTTTTTAATTATAAGTGTTGAAACGACGGCGTTTCCTTCAATTCTAGTCTATCGCCAGTTGGAAAGAAACCGGGCGGTATGCCGGGTTGTGTCGGTTAAACCGCAAAAATTGGCCGAAACGGAAAAATGCCCTCCACCAGTCTACTATATTGTTTCTGGTCTGTTCCTGTTTGAACCGGTTGAACCGGCCGGTATGATCCGGTTTCCTGTTCCATGAATGATAGTGGTATCCTTCCAAAAAAACAATCTATGAGCAACATTTTCAAAATGGAGAAATTGAAAACATGTGACACGTCCCGTCTCTTTTCAAAAACCAACCCATAACTCAAACCGAAAACCGGTTACTCCGGAGCAACCCAAACCACATTTTAAAATAAACAAACTAACATTATTTAAGAATTTTAACGAAAAGCTCCAACACTTGGGCAAAATTCTCAATCTCAAACACTTAAAACGACTTAACACAGAATCTCCAGTTTATACTAATAACCATGAAACAGAAAAAATTACTAATCTAACTTGACCTTCACAAGCTTTCCGATATCCCATCGACGCTGGTACTGCTGCTCGCCTCGCCCCGCTTCTTCTCGTGATCCACTTCTGCTAGACTATCCTCAACCTGGTGAGTGAGAAGGTGTCAGTCTCGTCGTTACTTCCTAAGGTCTTTGCTCTAGGCAAACTCCTTAGTCCTTACTAAACACATTATTAGGGGAAAGCCTTCCTTAGACGAAAGTCGTTCTCACTTTCATCCTTTAAACTTCACTATCAAACAGTCTATAAGAGACCTCTACTCCTATCTTATCTTTAGAATTCCCTTACTCGTATTCTCAATCCATAGACACCAACACTAGGGACCACCGTGTTACGTCTCGCTGTCCGGTGTCCCTACCCTAGTATGCCAACCGCGTTATGTCTCGCCGTCCGGTTGCATACCCAAACTCGGCAATGGCACTGTGTTACATCTCGCCGTCCAGTCCTTGCCCGTCAACTACTACGTTACGTCTCGCCGTCTAATAGTGACCCCAACATACTCGATCAACTGCTGCGTTACGTCTCGCCGTCCAGCAGTGACCCGACCATCTACCGCGTCCAGTAGAGGCCCAACCACCCGGGGTTTCCTCTTACCATTGACCAACTATTACAAACATACATCCATACATTCATGCATAGCACAATGCCCGCCTCCACCCTTACAGGCGGTGGGATGCCTCACACACATATCGCGCATACTAGAAGAATAACAACCATAACTGAATTAAAAGGCATAAACTTAAAGACCTCGACAGAGATTTTATTCCCCTTTACACTCACCTCATTAGTCGCATCAACGTCTGCCTTCTCAAGCTCAAGTCCCGGGCGTTTTTCCTCTTTTGGCTCCTCCTCTATCGGTTCTTCGTCTTCCTCTTCAACGACCCTAACCATTGGAGCTCCGCCGCCATTCTCTTCAAGGTCCCTCCTCGAGTCACAATTCGGCGGCCAACTTCGAACTGCCGACACCCCGGGTCGTCTAGGAGGATAGGGTCGGGGCCTCTCCATCACTTTACCCCCGCCAATTGCGATCACCGATGTCGAGTTCTCGGCCTTCCTTGCGCCTCTAATAGACGCGGCTCTTCCCCTCCTACTAATCGGTGTGAACCTTTTCATCACTCGAGACTACAAAGTTCGATCGCCTGCTAACTTTCTCGCCTTCTTTCCCTCCTGAGCCGGATTATCCAAGGAAACATATTAATAAGAAATTCATTTTCTTAGACGACCTTTCTTGATTTAATACCACTTTTGAATCACTAGAACATCCTCTCCTCAAACTCCAGTCATTGAACCTCATTCCGAGGGTCCTTTAACCCCACTAAAATTTTCTAGAATTAATCCCTTCAAAAACGACCATTTTTCTTAATTATTTTAGTCTTGGACGAATTTTCCACCTAACTAGAACCTTCTTAAAAATTTGGATAATAGTTTTACCATGTCAATCATGAGCCCCTAAACCCTGAAAAATTATCAAACCCATAAAAACCCCTCGGAAAGATTTTTAATTAATTCAAATGAATATTAGAACAATTTCTAAAAATAGATATACAACTCGAAAAATCCCCAAATTCAATTACAATCATTTCCTAGACGTCATTCAATTTATTAAATTGTTAAATTTAGAAAGCAACCTTTAGAGAGGCCCGAAACAATTTAAACATCTAAAAATACGTTTCTGGAAATTCCCATCAGCTTTAGTGACTAATCAAAGTCTGTCACAAAAATCCTGAAAAGCCTGTTGCTAAAACTCCAGAATTCTACCCTCACAAAAAATCACCAAATCAATCGACCTAACTTAAAGGGATCGAGTTCTCTTACATCTAGAACGTGCCTAGGCCTAGGTTGGATGACCCAGGACGTTGATCTTCTCGTTGATCGAACCCTCAAACGTCACTGCTAATAAAATACAAGCTTCGGATAGGCTATCGATAAATCGAGCTTAGAAACCGCAAAGGGGTTCGTGATCCTTACCTAGAAGACGAAAGGGATGGGATGGGAAATCGGGACCGGGATCGGGATCCTAGACTTCGTTCAATTTATAAAATTGTTAAATTAAAAAAAAACCTTGAGAGAGGTCCGAAACAATTTAAACATCTAAAAATACGTTTCTGGAAATTCCCATTAGCTTTAGTGACCAATCAAAATCTGTCACTAAAAGCCTGAAAAGCCTGTTGCTAAAACCCCAGAATTCTACTCTCATGAAAAATCACCAAATCAATCGGCCTAACTCAAAGGGATCGAGTTCTCTTACCTCTAGAACGTGCCTAGGCCTACGTCGGATGACCCGGGAAGTTGATCTCCTCGTTGATCGAACCCTCAAACGTCACCGCTAATTAAATATGAGCTTCGGATTAGGCTATCGATAAATCGAGTTTAGAAACCGCAAAGGGGTTCGTGATCCTTACCTAGAACACGAAAGGGATGGGATGGGAAATCGGGACCGGGATCGGGATCTGGCTGCTAGCGGCGGGGTTTCTCGCCGCTTGCTAGGACGAACAAAGTGGGGCGGGGGGGGGGGGGGGGGGGGGGTTCATTTGCTGGGGGTTTGGGAATTAAAAGGACACTGGGAGCCGCTCGGCCCCAGGTCTGAATTATATGTTTTTTTTAATAATAATAACATAATAATAATAATAATAATAATAATAATAATATTATTATTCTTAATCCGCGATTGTAACTCTTAGTACGTAAGCGTCAATCCAACCGATCACGTATTAAGGTCGAAACTAAATCCAAATTATTGGGGTGTTACATTTCCTCCACCCTTACAAAAATTTCGTCCCCGAAATTTGCTCGGAAATCATCTTCTGTCAACACCCTTCGTATACCTTCTTCTCATGATCATTAATCTTCCCATAACTACTTCGTTGGTAACCCTTTGCTCAAATAAGTTTCCTTAGCTTGCAGCACTCGTGTAACCATAAGTGTCTCACTGTCCTTTTTATTCCCCAGCTTGATCCAAACATGGTGAAACAAAATGCCAATTCGGCTTGTCATGTTGATCCAATTCTCCTGGTAGTTGATGTTGAACGTAAATCCAAAATCGAGACATCACATTCCCCCCTCCTTAAGAAAAATTTCGACCTCGAAATTTGTTCGTTGTGACGACATCCAAGTTTTACTTGTGATAATCTCTTTGCAAGGAGTAGTACCTCCTTCTAGCCTTGATGCATTGATCCCCTGACATCTTGTTAGGCTCCCTATGATATACTTAGTTCTTCCTTTGCTTGCTTAGGTGGCCCTAGTATTTTTCAAAGTCTAACTTTCCGCTGCTCCTTGGGGTTGTAGCCCTATGTTCAATTCTCCTGAACTCCACGACCCTTCCTTGCACCCTTTCCTCTCGATTATGGCGATATTTGCCCTAACTCCTTGGCTTTACTAGTCGATGTACTAACTGCTTGGCTCCTTCCAGAACAATATTCTCATCTGCTCACATTCCCATAGGATATGAGCTACCTTGACCCTCCTCTTCTCACTCATGAAGGGGTTTCACTAAACGATCCCTCTAGGAACTCGCTCCTTCTCCTTCCCAAGACGTATCATACTCCATAGGGCATCCTAAAGTTATTTCCTTATCATGATTAGAGTATACTGAAGATTCTAAAAATTTCCGAAAGACTCTGACTCGTTTGGCTAAACTTTTAACTGACACTCCCTTTTTCTTTTCCTTTTAAAAACTGAAACCTAAAAAAAACGTAGATCGTCACTCCAGTATTCCTTGGAGGCCAAGGAACAGAGGAGTGTCGGCTCTGATACCAAAATGACACGTCCCGTCTCTTTTCAAAAACCATTCCATAACTCAAACCAAAAACCGGTTACTCCGGAGCAACCCAAACCACATTTTAAAATAAACAAACTGACATTATTTAAGAATTTTAACGAAAAGCCCCAACACTTGGGCAAAATTCTCAATCTCAAACACTTAAAACGACTTAACACAGAATCTCCAGTTTATACTAATAACCATGAAACAAAAAAAATTACTAATCTAACTTGACTCCTCACGAGCTTTCCGATATCCCATCTACGCTGGTACTGCTGCTCGCCTCGCCCCACTGCTTCTCGTAATCCACTTCTGCTAGACTATCCTCAACATGGTGAGTGAGAAGGGGTCAGCCTCGTCGTTACATCCTAAGGTCTTTGCTCTAGGCAAACTCCTTACTAAACACATTATTAGGGGAAAGCCTTCCTTAGACGAAAGTCGTTCTCACTTTCATCCTTTAAACTTCACTATCAAACAGTCTATAAGAGACCTCTACTCCTATCTTATCTTTAGAATTCCCTTACTCATATTCTCAATCCATAGACACCAACACTAGGGACCACCGCGTTACGTCTCGCTGTCCGGTGTCCCTACCCGGGTATGCCAACCGCGTTATGTCTCGCCGTCCGGTTGCATACCCAAACTCGAAAATG